GAAGCTTAGGTCTAGATCGTCTGGGGTAAAAATGTTCAAGGCCACACAGGTCGATCAGAAGCCTTAGGACTAGATCGTCCGGGGTAAAAATGTTCAAGGCCACGCGGGTCAATCAGAAGCATTAAGGCTACATCGTCCTGGGTAAAAAACTTGAAGGCCACGCAGGTAGGTCAGAAGCCTTAAGGGTAGATCGTCCGCGGTAAAAACGTTCAAGACCACGCGGGTCGATCAGAAGCCTTACGACTAGATCTTCTGGGGCAAAAACGCTCAAGACCACGTGAGGGTTAATCAGAAACCTTTAGGCTAGATCAACCGACGAAAAAGTTTTCAAACCTGATAGAGTCGATTGAAAGAATTTAGGAATTCCCCAAGGCGATCGTTGGGTCAACCAAAGCAATGGGTCGACCCGCGAATGCACATGGTCGACGTGGTCGACCCGCGAGTGAACGAGGTCGACTCGGTCGACCCTTGTGAGTATGCGAGCGAGGTTCGGTCGACTCGGGATCGCAGAGAATCGACGTGGTCAACCCGTAATGCGCGTGTGGTCGACGCATGTGGGTCAACATGAGCAAGGATCCAACCTGCAAGGGTCGACCACACGAAAGGGTCGAGCCTGTAAAGGTCCAGCCTGAAAGGGTCGATTGTATACGTTTGTCTCAACGAGTTGCTTCATGGATGTGATATGTGTGCTTTGACGATTACGGTCGTTTGTTTAGACGATTATATGCGTTTGTTAACTATTTACATTAAATGCTCCAAACATTGAGCTGAAACTTGAGGATAGATCGATCCAAAGATTGGGGCTACATCGATCTAACACTCGGAGGCTAAATCGATTTCATGGATGAGAGTAGATTGAATCGTAGATAAAGGCTAGATCAATTTCATGGCCGGGAGAAGATATATTCGTATCTAAATGTTAGATCGATTTCATAGCTCAAGGATAGATCCATACGAGTCTCGTGGGACGAATCTCGAGGATAGATCCTTACAGGACGCTACTCGATGACCGACTGAGCTTTCTCCAGCTGCCTTCTGAGGATCGACACCCCAAAGGCAAGCGCCTTAACAGTCGACCACCTCAGGGGTAGATAGCCTCATGGGTCGACGCCAATCGACGTGGTCAACCCACAGGAGGTGGTCGGCCCATGTAATATCGTCGCCCCTCGATGTCTCCCCAAGCAATGTCGCCCTACGCAAGGTGATCGGCACATGTGATGTCGTTGCCTCGCGATGCCTTCACCCCACACGATGTCGCCCTAAGCGATGACGCCCAACGCAAAGTGGTCGGCACATGTGATGTCGTTGCCCCGCGATTCCTTCGCCCTGCTCGATGTCGCCCCACGCAAGGTGGTCGGCACATGTGATGTAGTCGCCCCGCACGATGTCGCCCCAAGCGAGGTGGTCGGCACATGTGATATCGTCACCCCGTAATGCTTTCTCCCCGCATGATGTCGCCCCAAGCGATGTCGCCCCAAGCAATGTCGCCCCACGCAAGGTGGTCGTCACATGTCGCCCCAAGCGTTAAGGGTCCATGGTTGGCTCACGCGATGCATGAACACAGGAACGAAATGATCGACCCGCGCGACCCGCGAGTGAAGGGTTGACACACTCTACCTATGGGATTAATGCGCAACCCACACAAAAGTGTGGTGGATCACTACGGTCGACACTCGACCCGCATGGTCGACACACGACCCATATGGTCAATGCACTCGACCTGTACGGTCGGCATTCGACCCATATAGTCGATACTCAATCCGCACGGTCGGTACTTCCCGATTATGAGAGGGATTTCGTACAAAGTTTTTCTTTGGAAATCCCACAGACGGCGCCAATTTGATATGGTCCGAGATCGGTGGCTTTGGACTTGCGGAAGGTTCTTCCGAGTTATGACGTTGGTTCGCTTAATTCGGTCTGGTCCGAGCTTGAGTGTTCTCCGGTACCTGAAAGCGCGCCGGAATTTCTCCGGCGCAAGCCCTCCGACGCCCAAGTTAGGATCTCAGATTTTTAGAGAGAGAATTCAATGTAATAAATGTGGTAGTAATGATATTAAATGAGATCTTACCTTCTCCTCTAGAATTTATCGTATATAAAGTGTTTAATTGTACGGCTGCGTAGTAATCGCCATTACTAAGGGTCGAACCCGAGTTGGCGTTCGACCCCTTCTCACAGGTTAATCTTTCACGGGTCGACACCTCATGGGTCGACTTCTCGCGAGTCGACACCCCACGGGTCGATCATAGCTCCATGATGCGGTCCTCCAGTGGGCCGAGTTGGCTTTACACCGTGCGCTCCTACATGTAATGGTCGTCACATGTCGCCCCAAGCATTAAGGGTCCATGGTTGGCTCACGCGATGCATGAACACAGGAACGAATCGATCGACCCGCGCGACCCCCGAGTGAAGGGTTGACACACTCTACCTGTGGGATTAATGCGCAACCCACACAAAAGTGTGGTGGATCATTACGGTCGACACTCGACCCGCATGGTCGACACACGACCCATATGGTCGATGCACTCGGCCTATACGGTCGGCATTCGACCCATATAGACGATACTGTCGGTACTTCCCGGTTATGAGAGGGATTTCGTACAAAGTTTTTCTTTAGAAATCCCAACATAATATAAAAAAGTCTTAACAAATCTTAGGGGGTGTATTCATTTGAGATTTTTAATGACTTTTAAGACTTTTAAAATCTCTACGTATTCAATTAAAACTTTTAGAGACTTCTAATGTATTCAATTGAGACTTTTAAAGACTTTTTATAAGTCTTTTAAAGTCTCAAGGTATTCAATTAAAACTTTCTGAGAGTCTTTATAAGTCACCCAGTATTCAAAATAAGAAGACTTTATGAGACTTTTTAAATTATGATACTTTTACAAGCTTCTATAAAAAAATTACAACGACAACGTTGTAGTAGAAATCTCATCAAATTGATAAAATTTTGCTGGAATTATATGACTCTCTTCATACTCTATTTATTTCTCCAACACGAATGCATATCTCATATCACTTTCATACTCTGTTACTTTACTCATTTATTTTGATTCAATGTATAATTTTTATTTTTATTACACATATTTAACGTGATCATTTATTTTATACATTTTCTATTATGGTTATTTTATGTGTGTATTATTTTTTTCATTTTGCTTTCTTGTGAATTTGACTTTTCAAATTTTAAATATTTATATAATTTGCACTTGCTAATAATTTATTATTTCTCTCTTTTTGTTTGAATGTCGATTTTAAAATATTAAAATTTTTATTTTATTTGCTAATAGTTTATTTGTTGATAATGAATTATTTTGAGTATTAATGACAAATTTAGAACATAGAATTACTGTCTTTCGACAATGTTTGTGTCTTGTAAAATAGATATCTTAAAATATTGTTTTAATATTGTAACATGATGCAAAAAAAATAAATAAATAAATAAAAATAATAATAATAATTAGACAAATATATCTTGATTTGGGTTGATTATAAGTGGCCTTGAAGGTCGATGTAATTGAGCTTTGGTCGTTGACCGCCGTCAGTTGACTTTGTATGTCATTTCTTCAAAGATGTGTAACACATATTTGAGCATGCGTTAGTTTTAAAAAATATAAGGACTTGCTTGAGTTCGACTCGTTAAAACTCGTGAAAGCTCGTATCAATTTTCTCGTTAATAAATCTAAAACCCTAAACAATTTGTTCGTGAATAACTCATATTATATATACAAAACCTCTCTTTTTCTTTATTCTTGCTTATATAAGTTATTATGCTTATGAGTACGTTACTTAAATATAATAGTTATAACTACAAATATATGAAAATTTTTAATAAATTTTAAAAACTTCATTATTATGAAGGTCTTCAACAAACTCTAAATGAAAATTCAAAGCCTCAAAAAGTCTACAAAGTCATGAAAGTTTTACACAACTAAAGTAACAAAATTTAACAAAATTCTTAAGAATCTCAATTGAATACACCTCGTAGTCTCCAATAAGTTAAATCTCTCATAGTCTCAAGATATAGTATGACTTTAAAATTTCAAATGAATACCTTAAGACTTTTAAAAATCTTATAAAGTTTAAATAATTTATAAAGTCTTTACAAATCCCAATTGAATTGAATACCCCTAATTTTGACCAATTATGTTTTGTTTCCCATGTAGCTAATAAAAAGAGTTTTTTTAACTTTAAACATTCTCGAATAATTTTCAATTTATAAAAACTGATAAATAAATGTAGTCTACTGCAGGAAGTTTCAATTTATAAAAGTCCAAGCTCATAAATTTTTAATTGCTGTAGAATATACTCAAATTTGATTTCTTATCTAAATATAATAATATACTAGTCCTATAATTCACTTACTATATAATTCTCTAGCTAGTAGTATCAACAGAATCCCTATAACACCAACAATAAACGCGTTGCTTCATAAGGCACCAATCCTTTATTTTTAATTATAATAATAGAAAATACTACAGTTCCGTTACGGTATCATCTAGTCGGGTGTTTTAACCGTAGAATTCACGTCTAGTTAGATAAGATAGAAGATCCAATGGTTAAAATACTCGACGAGATGATACCATAACAAGACCGTAGCATTTTCCATAATAATAATAACAATAATAAAAAAATACGCGTTGTTGTTGATGATAGTAACTGCCAAGTCAAATTATTCACGCCAAACCAATCAAAGCTAATAATCACAGCAAAAGCAAAAAAAGCATGATTCGTTCAAACCGCACCAGAAGTTTTTCGCCCGTGAATTTTTCATCAGCCATTGGCAACATCAATTTCTCCTTCACGATTTCTAAATGAAAAATAAAAATCTGCCAAACGTTATACACATAACTAGAAACTTAAAACTAAACCAAATTTCACCTAATCCAAATCAGTCAGCTGAATTACCGAGAGGAATTTTAATCTTTTTTTTTTTAAGAAAAAAGGAAGAAAGCAACTAAAAAGAGTGAGAGAGATAGTAACAGAACTCTGTATCACCATCATGTGGAGCTCCTAGTCATCATCTTTTTGAACTCCTTGAAGTTGACACAGCCGTCGCCGTCGGCGTCAACGTTGCTGATCATCTGGCGGCAGTCCCTGAGCGAGCACTTCTCCCCCAGGCTACGCAGCACCGCGTGCAGCTCATTCGCCGAGATCTTCCCGTTCTTGTCCTGGTCGTACAGATCGAACGCCTCCTTCAACTGCTTGTTGTCGGCCTCGACGCCGTCGCCGGCGCCGCCGCAGTGGAAGGCCTTGAATTCCTTCAGATCGATGAATCCGTCGCCGTCGGTGTCGAGCTCCGACATTATCCGCGCCACCTCGTCAGGCGGAGTCTCGGAGCCGAGGCCGTTGAGTATGGCGCCGAGCTCGGTGAGCGAGATCCTGCCGTCGCCGTTGCTGTCGAACTTCCTGAAGATCCTCTCGACTTCCTCCTCCACGGTTAGCTGGATCGCAGCCGGATTTTCCGCCATTGATGAAAGAGAAAGAGGGGTCAATTTGAGTGTGGATAGGAAAAGGTACTCTCTCTTTCTCTCTCTATTTTCCTTCTTTTTCTCTTTCCCTTTCGACGTTGAAGAGCAATTGATGGGTATTTATAGGGAGACGTCAACGCGTTTTTAAATACGCGTTAAGTATAAGCAACTGTACAAAAAATATCTCTTTTTTTTTTTTCTTTTCTACATTTTCGTTTTTTTATTTATTAAAAAACGGTATTTATTGGAATCATATTTATTATTATTTGAATAACAACTCACTTATTCGGTCAAACTTCTTATGATAGGTTGATTATGTGAATGACAATGTGTGATCTTGAAATCAAGTGCTTTTGAATCAAATTATTGAAATCCCTAATGTCATGGTAATGAGATGGAATAGGAGACTTGTAAGAGTGTATTCGGTTGAGATTCCTATTTATATCCACGCATCAAAGATTTTTTAAGATTTTCGAAATTCTGGTGTATTTAATTTAGATTTTGTAAAAATTTTTTGGACTTTGAAAATCTTGAGGTATTTGAAATTTTAAAAAATCTTGCAAAATTTGTGATTCCTAAAGATTTTTTAAATTTTTTAAAATCCTAGTGTATTCAATTTGAATTTAGTAAGACTTTTCAAGACTTTCAAAATCTTGAGGTATTTGCGATTTAAAAAAAAAAAAAAAATCTTACAAATTTGAGATTTCTAAAGATTTTCAAAATCTTGGTGTATTTAATTATGATTTGGTAAGACTTTTTAAAACTTTTAAAATCTTGAGGTATTTGAGATTTTAATAAATCTTACAAAATTTGAGATTCCTAAAGATTTTTTAAAATTTTCGAAATCATGGTGTATTCAATTTGAATTTGGTAAAACTTTTTAAGACTTTCAAAATCTTGAAATATTTGAGATTTTAAAAAATCTTACAAAATCCTTAGGTATTTAACTTATTTGAAACTAGGATTTGATAAGACTTTTTAAACTTTGGTGAGATTTCTACCGAAAAAACCTTTTATAAAATTTCACTACAAATCTCACCTCCAGGCAAGACTTAGATTTCACAAAATTCCTACAAAATTTTAAAAAATCTTAAAGAGTCCCAAATTTTAAAAAAATCAAAATTTCAATTGAAATCTCAACCAAATACACCATATGGTTAGTATTAAATGGCGTTGAAATGTTGAACGAATGATTGTAATTAAGGACACACTTATTTTCTTTATTGAATAAATAAATATTATAAAGAAAATAAAACGCAAGAGTAAGAAAAAAAAAAAAATACTTAATTGATTTATGCAACAAAGTACTACTAAATTTCCTCAATGCAATACCTACAATATCGAATTCGATCCAAGAATCTAGAATGTGAATATAAAATTGAGCCATACACTAAATTGGGATGTTATTGGTTCTCATCAGCTGATGAAGAAATACCAGGAAGTTTGATGATTGTGACGTGTACCTATAACTATAAGGGACTGTTAAGGCGAGTTCACAAATGTGTCGTGGGTTAGCTATATATATGATAACGACACCTAAATAAACTTGATTCTAATATCATCATGGGACTGCAAACGAGAGCGCTCGATTTAAAGCTCGACTCGAGCTCGAGTTTGACCGAACTCGACTCGAGCAGCTCGAACACGAACTCAAGTCAAGCTCGAACTCATATTTTGCTTTGTCGAGCGGCTCGAGATATACGTTAATTACTAAAAATACCCATTATTATATGTATTAGCATAGGTGGTTAATTGTAATTTTATCTAATTTTCAAGCCGAACTCGAGCCGAGCTCGAGCATTTTGATTTCGAGCCGAGCTCAAGCTATTGTAATTTTTTATGGAGTCGAGCTTGAGCCTAAAAAATCGAGCTCGACGAGCTCGAGCAGCTCTAAAAAAAACTCAATCCTGCACGATAAGGTCAATGTTCGACTCCGTTCGGCTCGTTTGCAGCCCTAATTATGGCCATTGGTTTGCTCGGAACGGCCCTACAAAGTTTAGAAATACTTGGCTATGGGCACTCATTTTTGGGCTTTTTTGAAGTAATAAAAAGCCTCTTCTTTATCTGTTTTTTTTTTTCTTTTCATCCTTTTATTCTCTATCTTCCTTCCATGATGCATAACTAGTATGTAACCTGTGCGATGCACGGACTGTATTTACTTTGGAGAATATTAAAAATTAAAATGTATTAATAAATAAAAGAGTCATAATTCGAGGAAAATTATCAAACCATGAAATGTACCTCATGCAAAAAAATATATTATTTAAACTTTTTTGTACACAACATTATTTGTTTAAATAGACCATGTTATCCCCAGTAGTTACCGTCTTTCGGTAGCCTCTTATGAATTAAACATAACAACAATTACGGATTGAAGGTATAATTCAGTTATAGATATGAAAAGCCTAATTTAAGC